ATTCTGTGTGATTCTGTGATTCTGTGTGATTGTACACTTCTGTACCTGACTGTCACTCATTCACACCTGACAGGCATTGTCACAAGACATCCATAACTTACCATATTTGTCCTGCTGCTTCAGTAAGTTTTAGGTAGCTGTTAATATCAGCCAGGGGGATGAAAATATCCAACTTCTGCAGTTGGCTCTCATCTGTAATTTGACTGTAAGAGAAAACATTGGAGACCATAGAACCACAGAATCATAGCATATCTCAAGTTGGAAGGGACTCATGAGGATCTTTGAGTCCGACTTCCCGCTCCTTGCAGAATTACCTAAAACCAAATAATGAGTAAGAGCATTGTCCAGGCGCTCCTTGAACTCTGACAGGCTTGGCATGCTCTACCAGTGCCTCAGCTGAAACCCATGAACACATCTGTCTTCTCTGCAACAAAAATGGAGAAGACACTTACCTGAGCAGTACAGACAACTGAACCACTGAAAGCAGTGATGAGTTTTGCCTTCTCTGGAGTGCTGGCTGCTGGCTGGTGCTGCTTTCTGGGATCTTTATGTCTCTGTTTGCTTCCAAGCCTCTTGGACATGCAGTGTTGTCCTGGCATTTGGAAGGAGATGAGGGCCTATCACGTCTGTATGTGGCCTGGCTGCTCTCATCCAGCAACGTACTGAAGAGGAATAATGATAAAAAATGAATTGGCTTGACCTTTCCAGGCACTCTTGCTGTGTTTGAAGCTGGATCAAATAGTCATGAGTGGAGCAAAGATTAACAAGTTCTTTTAGAATATCCAGCGGACAAAATAACAGCTAAGTAAAATAAACAGTCCTTCTAAAAATGGAACATAAATCCCCAAATAAACCGTTGCAGCATTTAAAGACTATTTATTAAGCCTGAAAACATTCCAGCTAACAACATGCATTAACAAAGAAGCTGAGTACAGATTGTTGGCCTTGGTTGTACTGGCTTTGACGGGGATGTAAGGCTGTCCCCTGCGAGAAACAATAACTCAGATGTGCTTTAATGCATTTGAGGTTATTTGATGAGCCTTATAATGTCTGGACCCAACTCCCCTCCATGCCCCAAACAAGACTGGGGTTAGCAGCAAAAGCTGCTCTTGGTATACTTTAACTCTGATGGTATAGGCTTGTGAGGTTTTCATAGTAATTCCCTCCAGTGAGTTACTATCTCAGGCTCCTAAAGACACAGTAAGGCTTGGCTAATTCTGTTGGAATACACTGGTTTGTGGGTCTACATTTTCAATTGCCTCCCACTATGTGGTATAAGACCTGATTGTAGGTGGCAGACCATAGCTAATAGCTAGTGGCCTCTGGCACTTCTCTTCAGTATACTGTGCTACATTGTGGAGGTTGTAAAGTTTCCTTGTGGCACTACAACTGTGATACATAGCTCTGGTCTTTCTTCATGACATACTAAACACTGTACATTCAAAGTACACAGCATCAGACCCATTCCTTCGATGGGAAAATGGAAGGAAGGGGAAGAGCTACTCAGGATCACATAACTTTTTATTGGAAAAGCTGGGAGCTAATGCTCCATGTCTGCTTTTGTCTTTTAACCACTAGAAAAGGCTGCCTGCTTTGGAGAGTACCTGTCTGAAAGTTTGCTGGAGTTCAGCTGTGGTATCTGAGGGAAGTGGTGGGCTGTTATGTCATGAAAACCTAGAAAAAGAATGAGTCAACAAAAAGTGCTGCATCCTATAGTCAGAGCCTGTCTAAATGCATGAGTTTGCAATAGAAGTTTAAATTTCACGTTGATGAGTTTAAATTTCACTCTAGTATTCCCATGAGTTCTGAACTTTCTGAACCAAGACCAAAGAAGGATTCATCAAACAGGATGCAGCCTCTGGATTGTTATGTAAATACCACAGATGACATCTCTATCTGTACTCTGTGTCACTTTTAATTTGCAAAACCTTACTGAAGTTGTTACTTACAGTGATTTCATTGACACATAAACGTTGTCCTTTACTGGGTTCTTCTGCACTGGCTTCTCTTGCACAGGGACATCAGACCCAGCTGTAGGGTCAGGCTTTGATACTTCCCTAGTGCACTGTTGAAAACACATAACAACATAAGATGTTAATATCCTTGCTCTGCCAACAGAAAAAAAATCTTCCTGATTTCCTCATTTTGTTCAGTGCTCTTGCTGTTTAAAACATTAGCTAATATAGCTTAGCTCTCCCCAGATAAGTAATTCCCAGAAACTGTGAGCTAGAAAGGTGGTGGAAACTTACTAGTTGTTGCTATCTGTTGTTACTGGCACTGTCAGATTGAGACTTAACCAGCTATATTGTAAAGTAGTTCACAGAAATTTTGTTATGTTTTAATTTAAGCAGGTTGAAAAAAGAGTCTTGTACTTCGGGTGGGCTTAACTTAAAGTGCTTAGAATATATGACAAAGTCATACTCTTAATGTCCTTCAGTTTGCTGTACAGTCTTGGGAGAGAGGCTGTGAATTCTGCAGAAGACTGACCACAGCTTCTCCTGACCACTAGCCACATAGGAAGCCTAGGGACATCAGCCTCCCAAACTAGGTGTCAAAATTTGTTTCAAATTACCAGTATGAATCCTCCTGCTCCCTTGTTTCACAGTGAAATGTAGCTACCAAAATGTTTCACAGCATTTTTAAAGTACTGCTTCATTTTATACAGCTTACTGATGCTTCAACAGAATTGCATTTTAAAATATATTAAAATAATGTACTGTTACACTTTCTAAACAAAGTTTACACATTTGAAAAAAAAAACAACCCAACTCTGTTATACAATAGGCAAAAGTCATTTACAATGAAACAGTCAATTTGGGGAATTTCAACAAAATCAGCAATGTTTTTGTCAAAATGCCACTTTCAACCAGAAAGATCCTTTGAATGAGTCTAGTGTATTTTTTCTTGTACAGATAAAAGCTCTATTACCAACTGCTTTATCTATGTATTTCTTTTGCCAGGTACTAGTGATTCCTCATAACAGTTCCTCTTTGGCTCATTAAATGTCTCCTGTCTCCTTGGAGCTGTTAAGAAACCAGCAGAACTCACAACTGATAAATTACCTTTGCTAAAATATTGCTGGGAGTTTGGTAATAATTTTCATTGTTCTTTTTGATGTCTTCATCTGTATCTGATGACAGCAGATTTTCCTCACTCTTCCCCAGATTTTTATCCTGTTAAAAGAAAGGGTTTGTACTTAACAGGTTCAGTTATACAGATCTTTCAACATGTATTTTTCCACTTACATGGACAAATAATAGAATAGGCAAATATTCACAGAAAACTTTGGAAGACATTTTTCTCCTTTAAGTTAAATATGCTCAGAGCCAGCTGGTTTTAGAAACAAGGTTTCTACATTTGTGCTCCTTCCTGCATTTTTGAGATCCACTGCACACATACAAAACTGGGCAATGGTATCAGTACATCTCATAGATGGATTTATGGTAACCAGGCAGTTGCAATTGATTGCAAGTTCACAATCTGTTATTTTGTTTAAAAATCAAGTGGGTTAAACACTTCATGTATGAACCTGCATGCATTCCACTTGTGTGGAAAATGCTTTTTATTTGTATTCAGTTCTAAAGTCCTTCCTAGGGAAAAAAAGGTCTGTAGGACATCTAGAAGTGGATTGGGATATTTGTCCTTTTTAAGCACCTTTTAACTGCTAACAAGTAAAGAATGGATTTGGAACTTCCCTGACTAATAAGAAGTCTATTTCATTCTTCTCCATGAACTAGAACATACCCTGGAGGGCTGGAGATCTGACACTGAATCCTCTGTGTCCTGAGTGATATTCTGCCTTCATAAGTACCTGAAATACTAAGTTTGTGGCACTTTGGTAAGTGAAGGAGAAATTAGTCCCTCCACCAAATTTACCTTTCTAAGTCAGAAAGATAAATTATTTATTTTTGTTTCCTTGTTGACTTCACTGTAGTGAAGAGTATGGTAATTAGTGTTTAGCTGCCTCCCGATGCAATTTGCCATGCCATGTTTGTGACTCAACTATTTTTTATCTCTCCACTTATATCCTTGGTTTCCATGGTGATAATTTTAATAATTGCTAAGTATGCCACAGAACATATTACTGTTTTCAAGGTAAAGTAAATTAAACTAATTACTCTCTTACATGTAAAGAGAAGAAACTGGCATGGAATAGAAATTAAAGACGATGAATTTATTTTTGTTGCTTGTTGGTATAAATGACATAAAAAGCAACACATGCAGTAGGAGTCAGAGCAAAACTGCAGATGGTCCTTCAAGAAGTGCATAGCAAAACCACAGCAGGAACAAGACTGGCTGTGATCTAAAGTCATGAACGAGTTTCCTAGTGACTTTTCAGGGGCTTTGGACCAATCAAACAAGGAACACTTGTGGAAAAGAGGAGGTGATTTTTTGAAGTCTTGAGATCCTCTAACTCCTAGGAAATCTCAGAGAGCAGATAGCACTCATCAGCTTCCCAAACTGAGCCTTCAACCACTGACAGTGGCTACCTTTTGCCAAATGAGCAGTGTTTCTCCTTGGCACCATCACAGATTATAGGGACATTGGGAAGGAGAAGGTTAAGCTGCAGTAGCAGTCCACTTCCCTGAAGCAGTTTGCCAACATCTCTGTTCCTCCAGGTGCTTTGCCACCAGAGAAGTGCAGCTGACCTCAGTGTACAGTTATTCTCAACTTTACAGCTAAACAAGTTCTTTAAGCCTCTGTTGAAGCATGGTGTGGATTTACATTGGAGAGAAATTAGACTATAGAGAAAACTGGCTGTAGTACAAGATGGAAATGATACCTGGAGAACAACTGAGTAATAGTTAGTTATAGACTCTATAGGGAAAATTATGTGTTGCCCTTTGACAGAGGAACTACTCTTTCAGAAAATAAGGCGTGTCTAACTGATCCCACCAAGGATGCCTGTGTGTCTGCAATACAGTAATGCACAGTACAGGGTGATGCAAGTCAGGATCCTTATTTTTTATGTATTTCAGGTATTGAAAGCTGTGTTTCAAAATACCTGATACTGAATTGCTGAGTCAGGTGTGGTTTGGTCACTCAAAAATGTGGATTGAAAGGGAGCCAGGTCCACAGACCTCTCCAGGGTCCCCCCCTGCATGACTAGACCCAACTGACATTGAGAGGCCTGTTTGCATGAGTAACAGCTACTGACCAAAGAGTTTTCAAGATCTGGGCCTGGATGAGGGAACCACTGATAAAAAAGCGAAGTGAATCAGATATTAGAAATGTGGCGTCATACTTCTAAAAGGAAGTAAACACAAAGGATTAATCTGGAAGTCAGATGCAGAGACATCACTGAGCAGAGAATAGATCCAGAGATGTTCGCAGATGCTAAATTTGTGAGGCAAGTGAAATATTTTTATCAAATGAACAAACATTTTTGTTTCTTGTTAGCTGCATGGCAAGGTTATTTATTTTCATACGTTCTGAAACAGAAATACGAGCTTCCTGCTCTTCCTTCTGCTTTAGGCTAAAAAGTTAAAATCCAAATTTGTTATCTTTTAACCCTCAAGGTCAGCCTGTTCTAGTCTGAACAGCTGCATGTGATACATGCTCTCTGAGGCATCATAAGTATGTGAAGAAATAACGAATGAGACACAAAAGGCATGCGTAATGAAGACAGAGAAAGCAAGCCCTGGTATGCATCCAGAGCAGCACTAGTTAAAATCAGACTAAGGGCTATCTCAATGCATTTCAGAGCTCAGACTCACAATTGAATTACTGCAGCTTCATAAATTACTGTGCATCAGCTGAGCTGTCCTAACTGCCTATGGCATTGCAATGTAGTTTCAACTATTTTCACTTCTTTCCACTAAATTTAGCTGTATTATCTCATACTTGCTACCAACCTATATACGTGGATGGTGACTGCAGCACATGATTTACCATCCTGTTAGCTGTGATAGAAGAACAGATTATTTTCCCTGTACCTCAGCCACTTCGGATCATACTCCAATGCACAAACTGTCAATAAAGATGGGTTTAAACTCAGCTGCCAAAGTGCATACTGGTGTGGTGGAACCTTGGTTATGGTGTCTCTTCTGCTGACTCTGCTGTAAAGGCAGTAATTCAGGGCAGAGGATGGGTGAAAGCCTTCCAAAACTGCTGCAGGTGTTTGTTCAGGGAACAGAGGTCAGAGCATTTAGCCAATAATACATGATAACGTTCATGACTGTGCCTTTTTAAAAGCATTCCTAGAAGCTAAATTACTTGAAGTTATATTTATGCTGACAGAAGGTCAGTCCTGAGGTGTACCTCCATTTAACAAGACCTTGTTCTGTGGTTCAGTTACCTTGATTCAACTGCTATTGGGAGAGGCTGCAGAAAGAAACCATTTAGGAAGACTGTGGCACAGCTGAGAAATACGATGGGAGAAGCAACTCCTCAAGCAGTGCAACTTCAGAGTTTTCTTGATCAAGTCCGAGAGAACTGCCAGAAGTTGCAACTACTGCACAGAAACTCTGAGGATCTGCCTCTGAGAAGCAAAGTAAACTAAGGGTATTTCAAGTAAGTTCTTAGAAGGTTATTATCAGCACAAAACAAGACAATAGACTAAATATTTAGGAAACTTTCATTGTGAAAACCAACTCAATGTGCTGGAAAAGTAGGTGGATAATCTATAGTTACAGATACTCAGGTGAGATAAAAGCCAATAGTCACTTCTACAGACTGAATATGTCAAGACCTGTTTGATTTGTTCTGCTCACCAGTCTTGGAAAAACTTCTCTTGGTGAGTCACACTGAGCCTGATGAGGGCCAGGATCTGAATCAGGCCTGTTCTTGTCTTCTGAGGAACCATCCTCCTGTATACAAGAGAAAAAAGTTGGCTCCTTCTAAAGATACATTGGAGATCATTCACCTGCATTCAGTTTCCTCTAACTGGACCACAAGTACACAGCTTTGTGACTAGAGAAAACCAACAATTCCTTGGCTGCTATTCAGCCTGTCACCAGAGGACAGGGACTACAATTGCTTTTAGACAGCAGCAGTGTTTTTCTTCATTTCTATTTAAATATTGTGGAGAAAGATCTGGGAGGCACAGAGGAACCGGACCTGAACTGCCCTCTAAGCTTTGCAGCCTTGAGAGAGACAATGAAAAGCACAATCACAAAACAGGAGGAATGTGGTGAGCAGCTGCCAAAACAATCATCACATGGCTTTGCCAGGGCACGTCAAAGTGAACCTTCAAGGACTTACATCATGCCCACTAATCTTTGCCAGTCATCTGACACAGCTAATTAATATTTTTTCTCATTGTCATCAACACCCCTCTTTACTTACATGCAGAGTTTCCTCAAAAGTCTTTCCTTTGTAGAGATGTTATCATCCAGATCCTACTTGGGAACCCCACCAGAGAGCAGAACAGACCACCCAGGCATCCAGTGCACAAGCTCTGAAGAACTTTTGATGGGAAAAATGCAACTATACAAATAAAATTTTGCAGTCACCCCTAGAAGCTAACTCATTATTAAGGATGGCTAAACTATTTACCTTCTGGTAGCTTAGCCTTTCCAAGAAACTTGTTGTGTCTACAGAATTCAATAATATTGGGGAAGAGTAAGGTCGGCTTCTGACTTCTGCATTTGGAAGATCTTGGTTCTAGAAATAAGATGACAGCAGTGTAAGAAGACAAGCACCTGATGGGCATGGACCATAATGTACTAATGCATCCCCCTAGTCCAAATTTGACTTCTAATGGCTCAGAGAGGTTGTCTATGTGGCATTTTTCAGGCAGATATAAATTTGCCATGCTTGGACTTTGAGGTGAGTGGAGGCTGCAGGGATGTGAGTATCTTAGTGCTGAGTCTGAGCTAGTAGGCCTGTGTGGCTGACAAGGTGCAGAAACTTGGGCCTGAGTATGAACTAACAGAGTTTCCAGCTGCTCCTACATTGACAGACTAGATGTGGATCAGTTTGTAAAACAGCATGTAAATGTAATCAAAAAGCACACGGTAAGAACAACACACAAGTTTTCATTGTGACACATCAAAGGTACAATTCATTGCAGCATAATGTCAATCATCTCCTAATTTCCATGTGGTTTACTCTTCAAAGAGATTCCTTCAATGTAAAATCAATCCCATCACAGACAGACTGCACAATGTCTGCTTAATGCATAAAGCCCAGGTACAGGATTTATATGGAAAAATGAATTTCTGATTAACCAAGGCAAGAGTCAACTTGCAAGGCCAAAATCAGGAAAATTCCTTTGCACAGGTTTGTAATGAAATTATCAACTTCTTTCTTTCTGAAATCAAGTGCAGTAACATGTCACCTGAGGGCAGTATCGACCTCCTTTGCTCTCCCTGCAGACTGAAGAAATCACAGTGACCCAGTCCTCTGTTTCCTGCCTGTAGGTTGGAACAATAGAAATGAAAACTTACTGACAGGTAAAACACAAGGAAAATGCATTTGCCCACCTACTTCCTATGGGGCCCAAAACAACACTTCCTGAAATCAATGGGGAAAATCTGCACCTTTCTTTCAAGATAAGAGTGCTTGGGTGGCCATAGCCACCCAAGATGGTAGTTTGATCTCACAGAATCACAGAATAGTAGGAGTTGGAAGGGACCTCGAAAGATCAACCAGTCTGCCCTTGCCAGAGCAGGATCACCCAGACCAGGTCACATAGGAACATGTCCAGGTGGTTTTTGAATGTCTCCAGAGAAGGAGACTCCACAACCTCTCCGGGCAGCCTGGTCCAGTGCTCTGTCACTCTCACAGTGAATAAGTTTTTCTTTACGATTACATGGAACCTCCCGTGCTCCAGCTTGCTCCTCAGAGAGGTACAGCCCAGGACTGGCAGCTAAAAGGTGTGCAGGGAGCTGTGTGTGTGTGAGCAAGATACACACACGGAGAGAGAAAGAGAGACAAAGAGGTAGGATGGTGCCTTCTGCTTCATTTCATGTGTGTCATGCTGCTCTGCCAAGTACTGCGATGAAGACAGCTATCAAGGCTTGGGAATGCATTTGGGTGAACGAAAGGACCTCTGAAGCCCTGTTTCATGCTCGTGGTAGATTTAGTTGGGTTAATTCTGGAATGCTTCCCACTGATCATGGGTGGTAAAAGCAGTACCCTGGGACAAGGTACAGGCTGGCACGCTCAAGTAACACACAGGTATGTGCTTTTCTTCTACCCTTATCAGTATTTCACACATCAGCTGCTTTTCTGTATAAAGGCAGGAAAACCCCTGACAAGCTTGTGACTGGGAAACCGAGGAGGAGAAGCTGGGAAGCAACAGGAGAGAAGCACTGTGCCAAATGTCCTCCCTCAACTAACTGTGTTTTGGCTGAACACCTCGACAGCGGCAGTTTCTGCCCTTGCTGAGGACTGGATTGCAGTCTGGGAGAGCAGGCAGCACACTGTAAAGACCTCAGTCACTCCTTTTGGTATCTGTTTTCCCTTGGGGGAATCTGCTTCCCTTGATTAACAACCTGCTCTCCAGGGCAAGATTACTTCCTGTGATTTATCTGTAAGGAGCAAAAAATTAACCCAGCCACAGGGTAGAAAAAACAACATAGAAAAGAGCAGTTTTCCATTGGATCAGCCAGCTGAAGAATTTCATTCTGGAGCTGCGCAATCAGTACAAGGAAGGGATGGGAGTAATAATGATGGACTTGAACTTTGCCTTGGGGCAGCAGCTTAGTGCTACATTAACGTAATGTGTAATGTAATGTGTTACATTAACAGTAATATCATATTGCATGTGCACATCTTTCCATGCATACCTGCTGCTCCCAATGAGGTAGTAACATCTGTTTCCAGTACTGATGGTCATCACCTGTTCAGGAAGGCATTTAAACATCTTCCTCACCATTTCCATAGTTTCAGAATTGCTTATGCCAACTTCAACACTTATTATTCTGTTAAGATAACCGTATGAAATATGTTGTATAAGTACACATACATACATACAAACATACATATGTGTGTGTGTATCTTTCTCTAAGCACAGCATAATATGAGATCTGCATGGGAAAAGGTAAACATTTTTCCAAAGAAAAAATTCTCAAGAAAATAAGTGTATGCATTCAAACCAGATTGTTTTTCAATGAGCAAAACTTCCAGGCAAAAAAATAAAATCAACTTTTGCAAAGACTCATGTTCAGATTTTGGATCCTTATTTCTGAAAAAAAGAGTCTATTTTTCTAACACCGAATCTGGAAAAGAAATGATAGTAAGAAAAATTTTTGGCAGATATTTTTGAACTACTACAGAAGAATACATTTTACTTGAAACTAATTGCATATTAACAGTGTTTCAATGGAGGAGAAGAGGAATAGACAAGAAATACTCTTAATGGATACTTAAATGGAAGCACTACTTTCATTAACTTACAAGAAGTTAAATTACTAAAGATAATAACAAGAATAGTGATGGTAATGCTGTAACCACATACCACTGAGCAAGCTGGAATTTTTTCAAGAGCTTCACAATGTAAATTCTTTAGATGGAAGAAGCACAATAGCAATGTGAGTCCAGTGACCTCCATGACTAACATTTCCAGGAGCCTTCACATTAAGCTCCGGTCTTGACTAGTAAAATATCTACATTTCCCTTTACATTTACTATTTCCATTCTATGTATCTCATACCACACGTGGTGTGGTAAAGAGTGCTAGTACACAGCCAATGACACACAGCCTTGCAGCAGTGGGCACTGTGCAGAGAGGAATGAAATGACCAACCCAAATGAGCCACGCAGAGCAACTTCTCAGTGGGGTAAGAGGCAGTGAGGCAGACAGCATCAGCCCAAAGGCCTACGTGAAAACCAGGAGACCTCTGCACAACTTGCAAAGCACTCTGTAAAGCTATAAGGTGGGAAAAGTTGTTTGCCACAGTTACGAGTGGCATAGCCCATCCTTACTTGTGTGTTAGTGAATGCACAGCACTGTCCTCACAAGAGATCAAATATCTTCTGCTACAGGAATACAGTCAAGATGTCTGCTTTGCAGATACCACACTACCACAATTGCTCACGTAAATGCATCGAACTTTATCAAAAATATTAAGGATTTTTACTCCTATGTGCATCATACACTGTATATTGCACCCAAAGCCTACAAGAGTCCAAAGGACCCTATTGTTGACTTCAGTGGGATTTAGATCAACAACCTCAATCAGGAACAAGTGTCTGTACATACAGTCAGTGGCCATTTAAGAGTGTTAATACTTGATGTAAAATAAAAAGGTGATCCATTTGAGTTACATACTGATCAACAGCTATGGAGCCTTTCATGTTCTGGCCTTTTAGATACTTCAGGATGTAATCGCCCTTGCTGGATTTGGAGAGGATGAAAAAACGCCTTTTCCAGGAATTCTGCCAGAGAAAGTAATTTGTCTCTCATTAAAATTTAGGATAGTGGAAATAACAGATGCTTGCTGAAGGATTGCTGGAATATTACTAATCTGTGCTAGTATACCTGTGAGCCAAAAAGTTGAAGAGGTGGTGATTTGATGAGGAATCCATGCTTGCAGACTCCACCTTCAGGACAAAACATATTTTGAGTTCTTACTAAACACAGAGAAATGAACAGCACCATTACTCAATTTGTTGCCAATTAATCTCTTGCAAGGATATGATTGAACTGAAAATTGTTGCCGAGCACTGGATTTCCATGTTTAAATGGCTAAAAAGCATATTACAATTAGAGAAAACAAACACTAAGCTATAAAATAAAGGCCATGGTCCCTGATGTCAATGTTACTGCTGACAACTGGCACAAAATGTAAATAAATTATAGTGACAATGTAGGGGGCTCAGAAGATATCATGAGCCTCTGTCTTATTTAAATGGTCTTATTTAACTTCTGGGGCCTGATCTTATTTAACTTCTTCATAAGTGATCCGAAAGACAGCAAACAGTCCCTAATGAAATATGTAGATTGCATTCAATTTGGATAGTTTGCAAACTCAGCTAAGGACAGGTCATCTTACACCACAAATCATGATATGACAACAGCACAAAGTCTTACAAGTAAAATAAGACTTAAAACCCTGGGGGGAAAAATGCCTGAATGTATTTGTTCACAGCCCTGCATACATCATGGTTAGCTGTAGTTTAAGATTCACATTGTCTAAACACTGGTGGATTTCTGATCCAAATCTGTTTTATTAATAGACTTTATCTTCCAATGAACGGAGTGTCAATCTCCTTTCCTTTTTTAAGCTGTAAAATGTGTATGGGAAATTAAGATTTTATAAGAATCCAGTGACTTGGTCAACATCATTTTTGGTCTTCCAGTAAGGGACAGTAAAGGACATATATAATATAACATGACCAAATTTTGTGTTAATGCAAGAAACATTCGGTTCCTAAACCCCCCTACTACTGACTTCAGTGGAGGTAAGATCTCATCAGTGTTTTGGAGCTACTGACTGTATCTTCCAGATCCACGTTAATTTCTGAGGATATGAATGTATTTTTACAAATGTCAATCCAGCCTCTATGTCAGGGTCAAGAAATATTCTGCTGTAAAGGGAAACGCTGTAATTAGGACAGACTCTTTAAGGAAGGAAGTAGAGGGGCAGAATTAACACACAGTGTAAATCCAGATGAGATCTCCAGATTTTTTAATATGCTCTTATCCCCTGATTTCCACCTATTATTTACTACAAAATCCTTGGCAGGTGGAGGGCAAAGAGAATGGTATCATATATTGATAAAAATGGATTGAAACCTGACTGAACCCAACTACTGACAAATCTTAGTAAATGAAATTGTGTACCTGCAGAAGCCATCCTGACTGTTTCTTCCACCCAGAGAGTAAAGAGAGCAAAAACCTTGAAGCTAATTCCTTTGGCTCTGCTTGCTGTTGAGCAGCATTTCACTGCATGCACGATTGCCTAAGAAAATAACACATACCTCACACGTGTTTATTTTCATAGTGATGAATAAACTATATAAAAAAGCAGCATTAAAAAATCTATATTAAACTATATAAATAATAATTATTATTCATTTAAGCATAGTATTATACATATTAATATTTCATATTATAAACTACACATTCTATACTACAACAGTATAATATATTTTATTATATTCTAAATATAAAATTACGAATTACAAAAGTTATAAATTTATCTAGGCCAAAGAGATGATTTGCCGAGGAAGTGGTGAGACTTGCCAACAGAATTTCATTTTGCCCCTTCCTCTGCACTAGACACAACACCTGTAACCTAGGAATATTGCATCCCATATATGTTTCTGACACTGCCTTAGCAGTGTGATCAGCCCTGTATAAAATAGGCATAGCATATTTTAAAAATCCAGTCTGTCATAATACTGTCGTATATAATACTCTGGTAATTATAATAATTTGCAAGTCTTTAGCTATCTTATTACAACGTCCTCAGAGCATTTTATAAACAGGGAGGAAATAAACTTCACAGCTAAGAGGTGGATTAGTATTATGATTTTTCAGAGGGCTAAACGGAGAGTATCTCATTTTATCTGTTTTTAGTTACACAATGCTTCCTCCAATATTACCAGGAAAATGGGAATCTCACTCTAAACCTGAAAGGAAGTTAAACAACCTGCTCATTGGCAGAACCAGGCTGTGGCAGAGATGGGGACTGAGGCTTCCAGGGAGGCAGAACACAGCAATGCATTTCCATGAACTTCTCTGAAGTTTTGTTAAATAACCCTTTAACAGAACATGCAGCCTGTGGTCTGTGGGATTTCATAAGTGTAGGAACACAGAGAGGGACTATTCAGAAAGTAAAAGGTGAGTTTGGTTAATAGGTTTCCACTGGGGTTTTTTTGAGCGAATTTGCCTTTTGGTGCTTTCCTTCGAGAAGAGCAACATTTGGGTGTCAGGAAATCAAAGCCAGATCTCCAAAGCACTGCTATTTATTTACAATTTGTATCTGAGCTCTGCACTCCTCCCACCCCATTGCATTCATGGCACTAAATTTTGCACACTGGGCAGCTTTTTATTATCTCACAATTGCTTTCTTGTTTATTTAAAATCAGATCTAGTTTCTCTCATATACTTATATTTCCAATTTGTAATACCATGTCTGTTTTTAATATAATTCAGGGAACTTTTTGAAAGTTTCCCTTCGCCTTACCCCAAAGCTCATATTCATGCAAAATCAAATATTTTCATTTTAGTAACTTGGCTTGAAGCTGTCTGTTAGCTACAAGGAGGTTACACAGTCTCCAACCCACGTGCCACCTGAAGCTGCAAAGCCTCTTCTGGGAAAATCTGAAGGACTGCAAGTGCTGTTCTCTAGTTCTTTCCTCAGCTCCCTGGCTGGGCTGAGAGATTTAAGATGTTTGCTTTTCTTTGGTTTCTTCATTATTTGCTCCATGGTGCCAGAAGCAAACATGGTACAGCCAGGAGTGGTGGTCAGAAATGGTTGGTTATTTTCTGGCCTCACTCTTACACACAAAACTTTACTTCTGACACACAACTAAAGCTACAGACTTCCATACCTCCCGTTGCAGGTAATACCGTGCTGTAAATGAGAATGACCCACTGCAAACTTAGGTCCACTGGAGATCTCTGCAGAGCATTTCTGTCTGTATTTTTTTTTGAAGGGAAACCTTGGTGATTTTGCCTTTTTGAGAGAAAGACTTGTACAAATGCTGTGACAGACTGTTATAAAATTTACTGCTAGGATTTTCATCTATTGTCTAACAAAAAAAGGACAAAAAGGCAATTTCCAAAACTGAAAATGACTGTACACAAAATCAAGTTTTTGATGTCAATAGTAGAGGCACATGCCTGGGGTTGCAATGAAAGGCAATATAATATTCTTTTCCATGTGACTGACGGAGTCACCACAACTGGCAAATGATGCAATCGTTGCGAAACAATGTTCCAAGAGCCTACGACAGAATAAAAGTTTCTTCTAGGTTTCAGTAAAAGTCAAGATTTGCAGCGCGGAAAACAAAACCCCATAACATTATAGTTGTGCTCTCTCACTCTGCATTTCAGGAAAAAGTTTATAATTGTTGCATTTAATTGCCTTTTCTCTCCAATGGAAAGCAGCATTTTAAAACAGGTTATGTCTAACTCAGAATAGACACTGCCAATTCCATGATTACACCCCCTCAGAATTTTGTATGCCTGGCATTAATAGATTTGATTGCTTTCAACCTTTTGAAATGCAATGAGTCACTTCAGTTAAAATGCAAATGAAATGCTGAAAGTGATTAAGATGTAGGCTATTAGAAAATACAATACCAAGATAAGGAAAATAAATTGTGTTAATACTCACGGGCAAAACGTCTTTATGGCGTAGAAGGTCCCCAAGAAATGCACCTTTAAGTATTTCCAGGTTCACTGTGTTGCCTTCTGCAGCAAAACATATGTGTCCTTGCCCTGCACTGTGACTGCCTCCTTATAGTCCGTGCATAAATACAAACACCCTGAAATATGACCTACAAGGAAATTCCTGTTTCTGCCACGGGGAGCAAAGACTGTTCTGAAAGGGGAAATCCAGAAGATTAATATTCACTTATAAGCAATGAAAAAATATGCACATTTGAGGCAGCCAAAAATGTATCTCATGCAGAAAAAAGGCTGGAAACAGCTTGGTTTTGTTAGTTCAGCTTTCTAAACAGTTCCTTTATTTACCCCAAGCTGTATCTAAAATATCATATCCACCCATGACTGGAAGATAAAGCAACATTAGGAACCCTAAAAGATCATAAAGTACCATAAAATATAACCAAGTTCAGACTTAAAGAACAGCATTTACTAAAACATACAACAGTGAAGCAGGATTTCTTAGGCTACCTTTGTAATGACAATGTACTTTCATTGTAGGGTCAATGTCTACCTTGGTTATGGGTGAATTATTTGGATTCTCTCCAGAAACACCGAGCATATCATTAATGATAATGATTTTACACAGTAGAACATGTGGCTAATCCTGCAGATGGAAGGGCATTGCTTTTAGACAGAAAATAGTTACAAATCTGACGAGGAAATAGGTCAAAATGCCCTACAGCTTATAAATCTCTATTCAGCTATTTGACCTTGCTCAGGTGAAAGGGTCAGGCTTCCCTACTCTGAATGGGTTCCTTCAGGCTCTTGGGCTGGTACAACCCCTGGCATGCAAAGATCACCAGTCAGATGTGATGTCTGTCGGTGGGAAATTTTATTCTTTAGTATTAATGATTTTTGGACATGACCTAAAGTAATGCTCTCTCTAGTCCCGACACAAGGGAATGTTTATTCTTTCTTTCACTACCACTGTAAGTTATCTTTCCAAGTTGCTTTTCCTCTCTGGCAGTGTATTCAGGCACTTCATGCTGGTCTTTGAGTATTTCATGTACTAGAACGAGCCCGAAGGTTGTTTAAGATTCAGCCTCAACTTCTTCCTTTCATTGTAAGTCAGCAGGTAGAATTCCTGTGCTCCTTTGTGCCATACTGTCATCTTTTCCCAGGAAAGCTTTAGTCTACCAGGAGATGTCTTGCAAATGCTGGGAGTGCCTTGTTTGCCTGCCACATTAGAGCACGGAAGAGCTTCAAATAACACTACCACTTTGCCTTTTTTCTTAGACAGACAGCTACCATTTCACCCATTAGCTGGAAATTCCCAAGGTGTCCTTATTCAGTGTCTGTCATGGGAAATATACAACAAAATCTAATAAAGACCTGCTCTGTCCACCTTTTTTAAAATTCTTTTAGACATTATTTCCAATAGGGCAAAAAGCTTTTCCTACTCAGAGAAAACTCACTAATAGTAACTCCTCTGATTCATTCTCAGCAGTCCCCTGTAGGCTGGACCAGGGACTATTTCTAGTAAATTTTATATTTTCCCAATGCTTCTAAGCTAAGATAAATTTGCTATAGCTTTTTTTTTTTAAAATAAAGTATCATTCTCAAAGAACCTTTAAGAAAAAAAAGCACTACACAAGATGAAGCGTGCTCCTTATCTTTTATGCTGTTACATTCCTTGGCACTATTTTAAAAACTTAAATGACCTGTTTCAGAGCCCCTGCTTGCTGCTTTTTGTTCCCAAGGCTCTTTGGCTTCAGAGCTACAATGTATCTGAATAAAAGGATAGTTTTGGACACAGGGGAATATTGTTAACAGAAACGTAAAAACAGGATAAACCTTAAGCAAATAAACACTAATGAAAGAGCTTCCAAAGAAGTAAAGAGTACTGAAATGTTGACTGGACGTACTGTTGGACCTGATGATCTTAAAGGTGTTTTCCAACCTAAATGAGTCTATGATGCATTTCTCATGGTAAAACAGGAATATCTCTAATGCGAAAAAAATAGTTCAAGATGGAGCTATTTGTCAGAAGTAATAGCTTATGAACTGCACAAAGATATTTTATACACAGGGCAAGATTAAGTGCTGGTAGATCAGGATCCTTCCATTAAAATATTTTTAATAATTTCCGTTTCCTCTACAAGAGGATGTGGTCTGCCTACCCCAAGTCATAAAAATCAGCTTACTTTTCTAAACTACTTTTCAACTGACACCATAAACCTCAACTATAAAAGATGCCAAAGACCATCTGCATTCTTGGCTGAGAAAGTTTTGGGGATGTATTTTGGCTGGTTTTCACTTCATCAGATTGAGTGACAAACATGCAGATATTTGTAGGATTTTTTTTTTAAAAAGATCTTTATTGGTTTCATGTTCCAGACAGCTATAAAATAATCATTTATTTAATTCAAACAACTGTAAATTTGACTTCTGAAAAAAAATATACCTTACTATTCCACAGTATTTGTAAGAAAATAAACTTAATAATTTGGTAACTTGACTTTAATAGTATGCACTTATTTTCTAAGAAGATTTCAAAAGAGTATAGAGTACATTAACTGGGAAAAGGGTGAACTAATCATTTATCAGTTTAATCAAATCATTAAACTTACTTTTATGAGCTAGCTACCAACTTTAAAGAGAATATAAAAAGTAGGAAAATAAACATCACCGACATAACTCCAAAATACAAAATCAAGACCATACAGTAACTAAAAAGTCACTTCTGGTTTCTGATTCAAGTAAGTATTTCCAGTCTTGGCAAAATTCCTCACAAATAGAAGATATATCTAAACATACATTTGTTACTAGAACATCTAATTCTACCATTTCAACATAAAATTGTAATGTTTTATAAGAAAGCCTTGGCATTAACTCTCTGTTGGTTCAAAACTTCTGAATAAACAAGCAGACATTTTTATTTCTGCAAGCAGAAAAACTGCAATGCCATTGTTTCAGGCTTTTCTATCAGTTAATTGTAATTTGCAAGGCAAAAATCTTGGCGCTTTAATACAGTACCATCCAATTACAGTTTGTCAGTCTTTTACAAGATTTTCATTTTGATCTTTCCGTGTGTTACATTCCATACTATTCAGGTAAATAATCTACAAATACTGATTCTTTTTTTTTAATGCATTTTATGCTAGAGTGAGAACTAAGTAAATTGACTTCCAGATTAAGCACAGAGCAACCATTAGTCTTCATTAATAGTGTTCATAAAAAGGAAATGAATATATTAGACTAAGAAACACTCTTAAATAGCTACAAATTGCTTCATCACTGGACATACCCATAATATGATGGTCTTTGGAACTTTCCAAGGAAGTTATGGTTCCATGAGCTAGCAGTGAAAGAAAAGATGGAGCCTCATGACTTACTTTTTTTTTTTCCTAATTTACAATTTGTTTCTTGGAATAAACATTTATAGGTTAGGTAGCTGACTCTCAGAACATCTTCAGTAGACAGAAATCATGACAGGAACACTAAGGGAAATCAAGATACAGTAATTAGTATTAGCTGTCAGGTTGGCCCACAGCTTTTATTTCTTCTTTGAAATCTTGCATATTGTCCATCCATCAGATACCCCAGCTTACACAATATAAAAGTCTAGTGTAATTACATTTCTGTTATTAAAAATATGTTATTCCAGTTTATATTCAAATCTCCACCCAAAACCATATCTTGATCTTTCATAATTGGCTGCATAAAATACACTTTCAGAAGTAAAGTTCCTTAGTGAGCATAGAGACCACACAGGGAATCTGCTTCTTCTCACTGAAGCGTGGATCATCAGACTGGGATTCAAAATTTGTGGCAACCACATAGTTGACCCGTGTAAGGATCTGCATGATCTCAAGTTGTTTTCCATGCTCATTTAGCACAGAGCACAGGGACTGCACAAACCAAGAGCCTCTTCCAGGATTCCTCCAAGAGTAGTAACCTTACAGAAAAGACAGATAAGAAATTACATGGGGTTACTTTACTTATTATCTCATGCTGAAGAGTGGAATGGCAGTGAGATATATGTACTAATTTGTGTGAAAGATTCTGGGCAAAGAGTAACAATGCACACACAGAGAGCTGAATTCTTACCACTCGTGTCACATATCTGACTTCATTAAAACGGAGAATAATGTGTATTAACTCTCCAAATCTCACACTACTGAAGTACCATTCTATATTTTTGCATTTGTGAAACTACAAGAAGTAAGATTTCATGGTTTTTCTAAGAATAATTTTTGTGCTGTAACTGTTCCTTTTTCTGACTTCACGTATTCAACATACTCACTAAACTGAGACATGGAAGGGTAGGATTCCCAGAAAATAGCACTGCCTTCACCATATGTTATGTCTGTGTCTTCTTACCTATCAAATCTGGCCTTTCTCCTGTTTCTGCCACAGATAGTGTAAATGGGGTGGATACAACACATTGGCCCAACAAATGCTGGGCTTTACTGTTTTGTCCATCAATGTACAATGTATTATCAGTGAGGGTCAGTCTACAACCAAGCCAATAGGTGTGATAAGTTTTTAGGCTTCTATCCCCACCCTCACCTCCTTTTCTTTACCTGGTACCGTGGAATATGCAAACAGAAAATCTGCTTCTACTGGGATTTTGTATCTCGGATTGGCATCTGTTTCCAGAGTGTCATTTGCAGGTCCAGAGTCAGTCTGTATGCCTTCATCAAATTCAGAGCCTCTGCATGCCTGAAAGCAGTGAAGACAAAGAAAATTTGCCCAATAAGGAGAAACAAGGTGTTATAAAAATAAGTATTCAATAACATTTTTTAATGGATACAGTTTTAAGCAGTACTTTGTATGTATTAGAAGCAGAAATGCAATTCTGGGGAAAATCTAATTGTTCAGTGATAAAGTTACTAGCTTACCCATTTTAAAATATACACCCCGTACAGTAAAGGGAGGTAATGGTGTTGCAGGCTGTGGATCTCAGTAGATTGTCAAAGTGCAAAGTCAGCATTACTTTATTTTAACCATGATTACTTTTACTAGTCTAGATTCATCCTCAGCATTTAGTTATTACTTAATATCTTGTGCAGTGTGACTTCCCGACATTTTCTTTACAGTGGGCTACAGATTGTCTCTGGTTCCTGACATGCACTGCTGTAGCACTATGTTTCATGGAATAATAAAATCACATACTGAGATCATCTAGTCCAACCGCCCTTCTCAAACAGGGACAGCTACAGCAGATGTCCGGGACCATGTCCAGTTGGATTTGGAATATCTCCATAGATGGAGACTCTACTATCTGGCCAACTGGTTCCAGTGTTTGACCACCCATTTCAAGTACATTGCATTTTCAACATTTTTTCCATTTCTCTTTTTTATTCTTAATGTCCTCTTAATCATGTGGTTTAGCTAAAGGGCACACTGGGACCACAGTCCAGGTTGGTAAGTTTCAGCTCTTCATCAGTAGCTCTGAGTGGCAGCTCTTTCAAAGAAATAGCAGTCTGATGGGCTCATATAACTCAGGTTGGTTGCCTTTATTAAGATAATTTTAAAGGTAACAAAGTACCCATTCCAAACTTATAATTAAAGGAAACATCACTTTAGTAGTATGAAGAGTCTAAAATAGACACAGTTTTCACTTTGAGGTTGAGGATTAATTGACGGAACAGCTTAGGGAAAACCACATCTGCTGCAACTCCCATACGTACATAATACTATATGTAATATGATTAAAAAAAGAATTCAGACCCATGGTATATAAGTTAATACTGTTTGAAACAGCTGTTTTTAAAAGCTTAAGTAACATGGAATTAACTATATGCTAATACAATAACGCAATACAAATTTTTAGGGTACTGAGGGAGAGAAAGAATATTTATTTTAGCAGAATGCAGTAATTTGTAGAGACAGCTTTTATTCAAAGACACCTCGACAGTATTATTTGTATTGATAGTGTCACATGTACTATCACATCAGGGAGTTTATTTTTCTGCTCTGTAGTTCATATATTACCAAGCACAAAGAAAAACCATCTACAAAATTACAATGATAAAATGTTCTTTACATCTGTGAATCCTGTATATAAATTACCTTTTAAAAACAAACAATACTAGTCATCCGTAGTTAAATTCTCTCAATACATTGTCTCAGAAAACCTCCAGCAAAATTCAGTAAGTTAACCTACAGGGCTCTTCTAGAGCAGGTAATCAACACAGTATGTTTTCCCCACTGCGGCAGTAGGATTCTGTATTTACCTTAGGGCTATTACCTGAATGAAAAATAATTTGGGTTTGCCTATAAGGCTTTTGCACTTGTCTCCTCTGAACAGCGCAGTCAGACTCTTGATAGCCATGGGTCCATCAGTGCCATAGATGAGGCCTTCTTCCCCGTGGCTTAGAAGGATACAGGCAAAACAAGCGGCATCACTGTGATTTTCCTCAGCAGCTACAAAGGAAATACTTCTTAGCCAAAAGGAAACAATATTTTAAATGAAAATTATACTTAGTAAACACATTTTTTTGAGACTAAATATACATCGGGCCTCTACTAGAAGGCATAAGAAAGAGTGGATAGGGATGAGAAAATCCACTTTTTAGTAGTGTGATGAGTGCCTTGAAAACACAAATGCATCCTTCACTTGACTCTGAGACCAGCCCACTGGATTCAATGGCTGAGCTCTTTATCTAATAAGAGAATGCCCTTCACCAAATGCTCACACTTCCATGACCAGAAAACTCTGTATTTCTGAACTGGCATTGGAGGAAGAGGTGGGGAATTAAGTCTAATCCATTCAGAAACCAAATCCTTCTACATAGAAAATTGCATGTAGTGGGGCCGAAGCAATCTGTTCTAATTTGACCTGCTTTGAGCAGGGGGTAGATTTGGTCACTTCCAGAAGTCTTTTCTTCATAAATTATTCCAGGATTCTAAATTTTTACCTTGCTTCAGTAACTTTTCCATATCATCACGGCTTCTGTCATTGTATGTGCAAACATCAAAACCTAAGTTTCTAAAACTCTTAGCTAGATCTCCAGCATCTTTATCAGTGCCATTGCGTGTACCCATTCCTGCCAGAAAGGAAAGAATATGGTTGAATGCACATTACACAATTCAAAATAATTCATGTGTTCAAAGGTAAATTTCTAGCTTTATAATCAATAAACCTAAACAATGTCATGGTGACATGATTTTAAAACAATCCTCTAACAGCAGTCTCAGCATTGAGAACAAATTGTGAGACTTGTTTTTATGCAAAATAATGCAAGGTTCAATGTTAACACGCATCTTATCCTTAAAAATGTTGGCATACCTTCAGCACCTTGCAACATAGGACCTCTACAGATGACTCTATCTCCTTTTGGTTATGCAGTGCAACATATGCATAAAGCACCCCAAGAAAAACTGTTGAAAAGAGTTCCTATAGTATGCACACAAAAGAAACTGATGTAAATTCTCTGGAGTAAACACTTCATTTATTGTGCTTGCCAAGTGCATAGGAAAAGACCTATAAAGTTGACTATAACACAAGTGTATCTGGCTGCTTTGGAACTGCATATAGTCTGGAAAGTTAAATGCAGGTGTGAACAGAGCACAGCTACAGCTATTAGCTTTTGTAGCTCTTAGCTGCAACTCGGGAACAGAGAAGTTATAACATGGGCTGCAGATGCCAAAGTTAAAATCTTAACAACACAGCCTTAAACTCTGGGATACAGGTTTAGTTTGAAGTTAGTAGAGCATGGTGACATGCTCTTTGAAACATGCACTGCAAGAAGCTGCACAGAGCTGCTCTAATATAAGTGTTAAAGAACAGGACTAAGTTGTAGGAACAACTATTTCTCAAAAAAGATAAATATATTCATTAAAATTCCATGCCCTAAAAATAAAACATTTATTGACTTACAAAAGTATAAAAATTCTAAAGTCTGTAGCGAGTATCATCAAAGGAAGAACATTACCTGTCTTGTCTTCAAAATTTTTGTTGTTTATAATAATACATTTGCCAACTTTCTTGTAGTCCATATTATACTGGAATGTGGGTGTAACAATTCGGTACTGATTACTGAGAGTGGACTTGGGCTGTTCTTCTCCATTCTTCCTTTTTCTAGGTGAACCAAATCACTGTTAGTGGCCAGTCACATGCAGTGTGTCTCTTTATCTTAATTCAAACCGTTCCAGCAGTTCTACCCAATGTTTTTTCTTCTCTAATGTTTGTTTTCTTTCTTCATATTTTAGATTGAGGCATAAAGATCTCGTTGTTTCCATGAAGTGATTACTGTATGCAGTTGGCTTCTGATGATGGCAAAATGACTCTAGAGCGAACTGCAGCCAACAGCAGTATACACAGATCCTGACCCACAGATAAAACAAACGGCCTAAATGGGAAATCAGGCTGGCAGAACCCTCTCACAAACTATGGTTCTGGACATATTTCACTTTTGCTATAAATAATTCATGGGAGGACTGACAGATCTCCCTTAATAACTATTCCAGGCACAAGAGGATAAGCAGTTTACCCAATAGTGTGATAGGATTTGTTTATTGAATCACCATCATCCCTGAATTCCTGAAGATTAAGGCCGAGCTGTAGGTAGTTTCTACTGATAAAGATTGTAGATGTGAATGGGTTATGTGTTAATGTGGTGTGCCAAACAGCAGTCCGAACCTGTACAAAAAACTAAGCACATTTTACTGTAATCATCAATACCTGAACCTCCCTTCAAAAAAAAAATCCAAACAAAATGAGCTATAAATGTTCTCTGTTAAATCAACTGTATGCTAACCTTTTGTCTACGTGCAGGAGTCTTAAACTGGATCAGAAAGGAATGCAAAGGGATAGCACAAACATTACTCACCATTTTTTTTCTAAATGAAGTATTAAGAAGAAATCAATTACAGCCAGCATGCACAACTAAAGCATAAGCATGAGGAAGTCAGCAGTGCTTGCTTTCAGAGGTGAACTTTTTGGTCCAAGCAGGTGGCTTCAGAGGTTGATAAGATCTCCCCAAGCAAAACTGAAGCCAGTGAGAGCCTATAAGCAGTCTGATTCAATCTCAGAACTACAAACAAGCTTCGGAGCAAGCCCAGTTAGAAACAATGCTCAGGAAAGGGCAGAAGTTATCAGCACCTTTCTTACTTATTTGGTCCAGCACCTGCTTCCAATAGTATCCACTGCTGATGTCCAAGAGGAAAACGTAATCTACTTTCACAGCACAAATAACTGCACATTAGTTTGTTTTTAACAAAATTAGACTTTTCCCACAAACTCAATTTAAGTACTTCTGCTATTCTCACTCCCACATCTTTCTAAGGAAGTCCTAAGCAATTTGCTTCAATAATAGCCTGTAGACATGAGATTGCTGATAATCGATTAAATGTTTTTTAAGTCATCTACTTTCTTAACTTTCTGATTTAACAATTGTCTTTTAGCTCTCTAAGTGTCCTCTTTTTTATTACTAAAGGACAAGACTAATTGGAAACGACTACAAACCTTCTCTAGATGATTCATCATGTTTAATGATACTGCAATTCAATTTTAAAACAACTTGTTCTTATCTTTCAATGTCCTCATGTTCTGTTATAAAGGGTCAAATTAAATAGCTGCACCTGGCAGGCTTTCTCTGTACTCTTTTTACATAGGACCATCCTAATATCATCTCCTCTCTTAGAGATTACAAAACATGATACTGAATCGTATCTACTTAAGGATTTTATCTGATACTCTGGAAGTACAGTTCTTTCTGGCAAATGGCAAGTAGTGGTATATTCCTTGCATACTGCCCCTGAGGACTCTGGGAGCAATAATTAAATATGCTTTGCCTCAAGAAAATATTTTAACCATTTTAAAGAATTATCCACAGCTGTATGATGTTAATATTACAACTGACTTTCAAAGAAATCTTGTATTCTTATTTTAGCCTAAAATTCCCCCTGGTCCTACAACACTGGACAGCTTTTTGGCAAAGAGAGAAATTAAATTTCAAAACAACAAATAACCACTCAGGCTGATGAAGAGGCTGATTTCCTCAGTTCACACTGGATTCAAGTTTCTACAGATTTATCTGGCTTCGGTGACTTCCTGAAAAAGGTGTATGACTAACAGTGGCTGTTACACGCAATCAGATATTTTCAAGGGGATTGTACACAAATTTCTGGTTTTGTTCAACCCATGAACAGCTGTGAACACTCGGGACAGACACGCATGAGCAGCACAGTATCATGTTTGCACTGTCTGCTCTCCCAAAATGCTGGAAGTGATCTAATTCTAGTCCAGAAGTCACACAGCCACGTTACCCACAAAAAGCCACACTGAAAATAGCAGCTGGGGTTAAGTGGCATAATAATGTAACTACACAACTTCTCCGAAACCACTCTACTTCCGAGTTCAGTAGTTCACGCTCATTCATGCAGAAATAGTTGGGATTTTAAGGGATGTAGCTAATACTGCTGGTATTCCCAAAAGTCTGACAGAAGCCCTGTGTCGGTCAATGACAAATGTCACAAAGCCACGTCAGCACAATAGCACATATAACTCTAAAATTTCCCTATTCCTTCACAGAGGATAGTATGGTTTTGCTCTAAGGATTCCTTCCAAGACGAACAGGCTACTGAGATACTAAGCAACCATGCCATGCTTTGTACGGTTACACCTATCATTACTGGCAGACAACAAAAATTTCCAGCAATCTCTTGGTACCTGTCCAAATGGAACAATAAGGAAGCAAAGGTTGCGGAGTACAAATATCCTGGGCCTGCGGTCCAGAGAGAAATTGCTTTCTGAAGATTCTGTTTTCTGTGCCAACATAGTGCAATATGGGAATTGCCTGACTGGACTAATCTGACAGTACAAGGTTCAACTCTTCCATTTCAACAAGCTACACCAGACCTTGTAATAATGATTAATAAAATAATAAATATGTAATAATCAGTCCTTAAGGAAATGCTCTGTCAGTGGCAGGCTGGCTTATGACTGAAAGCCTAAAGCTTTGCAGCTAAATTTGCATTTTCTAAGCTTTGAACTGGATACATGTTAATATAAATATTTACTGCTGTTGTTCTTATTAAGCTTTTCAATCATCGTATTTTCTGAAAGGGTTTCCACAGATTAGTTATGTGCTGTTATGAAAAGTTTTAAACTATTCGTCCTCAGTTTGATTTCATTTTACTTCTCTGACATGCAGTGTCTTTAGTTTCCCTCTTTTGGGATTCATATTTGCCCAGACTAAATAGAAACTGTGATTTTATGACTGTTTAATCTTTCTTCAGCTTTTAATTACAACTGTGCTGTAACTCCTCACTCTGCTAGTGGTCAAAAAAAGACAGAAATATTCTTCCTATCAGTGCTCTCACATATTTCATGTTCTCTCCCTTTGGTCAAGAGTTCAGCAAAATTGAAACTCCACTCTGGCACCCTCGTATAGCTTGCATGTTTTCACCCTTACTGTGTCTCTAAATCCATGCCCTAGGCTTGACAACAGTATGTCTGGGAATGTGATTTCACCGAGTCTAGACTCTTTCAATGTTGACCCTGGAAAATTCATTATTATCAACTTCTTATTTTCAAATATAAAATTAAGTTGGCCATATAATTTTGTTATTGAACTTTTAAATAGTAAAGACCACATTTCTTATCTCTATGGGTGGCTAAAATTCTGTCAGAGTCAATGGAAATACATCACTTGCATCAGTAGTAATTTGATTGTCTAAAGGACTACTACTGACCACAACAAACTTCATTTTCTGTTATGTTTTGGGTAAATTATTATTTCAGTATGTACAGATATCAAGATTTAAGGATAAAAATACAACTGTTAACATTTGACTAAATTCAACATAGTGCAATATGGGAACTGCCTGACTGGACTCAACTGCCAGTACGAGGTCCAACTCTTCCATTTCAACAAGCTACATCAGACCTTGTAATAATGATTAATAAAATAATAAATATGTAATGATCAGTCCTTAAAGGAAATGTGCTGTCAGTGACTGACCTAAAGATTATCGGGGGATTGGACTGGATGATCTTTTGAGGTCCCTTCCAATCCCTAACCTTCTGTGATTCTGTGATTCTGTGATTCTGTGATTCTGTGATTCTGTGCTTATTCTTAATAACAACTTTATGGAAAGCAGTGCCTCTTAGCAGCTGAGATTCTCTCTCCTTGGCTTCCCTTCTACTGGCATATTCCTGCACTCTCTTTGCTGCCATGTAATAGCATGACATACCACCGTACTAAGAATCCACGTGCAGGAGAATGGCTTCCTTGAGTGCTGCAGTCTCTCATCACCTCTCCCATCTGCTACAGTCAAGCTTTTGGGATCAGGTTTGCCAGCCCTCCAAAGTAATAAGAGTTTCAGTGAGAACCAGCCGCTTAACTCCAAGTGTTGTGTGAAATATTTCTATGGGGAAGGGGCTTCCCTTTCCCTCATACTACATAATTAATGTCAGTTGTGTAGTCTGGTATTGCCTACCTTTTTACAAAGTGTAAAGTCCTGTAACTATAAAAAACCCTTCTGCTCCAAGAAAGCTGGTGTGCTGTAACTGTATGGACTCCCTTTGGATCAGAACCAGCATAATGCAGGGAAAGTTCTCAAGAGAAGAGTGTATGAAAGGGAAGCATTAAGTAGAAAGAGAAATCTCTAGGGTAGACACTGTTACACCAATCCATTTACTAAACATCACCATTAACAATGGTTAAAAAGAGGATGATAGTAACTGACAGACAATAGAGCTCTTCTGAAAACTTGAGTTGCTTGGCCCTAAAAGCAATGTGATGCTTAGCACGTGGAAGAAACAGCTCTTCCTGGAAAAGCCAATCAATTGAATAGCCGTATGGGCTGAGGATTAGATCAATAAATACAAATTTCATGATCATCACTTCCCAATCACAGGATGGGAGGAGTTTCCTATCTGTTTTTTTTCCTGTTTGTTTGCTTTCCTAAGAGGAAATTAATGTGTCAATCAAAATGAGCTCTGAAAATGATATTACAGAGGGATATCTGGGCTTTGAAAACAGCTATAGTCACTTTCTCTCCCAGGGAAGTTAGGGACTTTCGTTGCTGCACTGAAAAATGTAAGTAGATTAAAAAAATCCATAATTATGACAC